CAAATAAATCTGTTAGTCTTTAAGGTGCCACCAGACTCCTTGTTGTTTTTATATGAGTTGAGGGTGACCCAAGAGATATTTTGTCATTTACATCTAGTCAAACCCCAGTTACTTATTCAAATTAAGAGTCCTTGAATAAGGAGCTGGGAATAAGTAACCAACACTAAACAAACATAAGGCAGCCCAAGCACATTGATTTCACTCTCTTCTGGTGCCTTCTTGGTCCCCAAAGCCTAAAAACGATAGCAGATGCTGCAAGCAGAATTTCACCAAGGACATCTCCCAACACCACCAAGCTGTAAATGACCCAGTGGAAGATGATGGCCTGGAAAAAAAACAAATATGCTTGACCACAGAAAAGAAGTAAACCATAAAATACTGAAAACTAATTTACTAATTTAACTAATATGGAACATGTACCAGCAATAACAATAAATGTCCAATAGTAAATACAGTCCAGGTCATGAGACAGTAACTACATGTTCTGAAACATTTTCAAAAACCATTGCCTCCATTGAAGATGAAAAGCCAGTTCTGGACAGCAGCACCCAGAACATCAGCTGTTTCTAATGTTCACTTTACATATTCCCCAAAAGGCAAACTAAAAAAAAACCCCAAAAACCCACCACCAATGCTTATTTGTATTGGTTCTTTTAGTCCCTGTTGCAAAGCACATAGAAAACAAACTCTACATATACATAAGTCTTCTCTAAATTGTCTTCAGGGCACTGTAGCCTCAAACCTCCATAATATCTGAAGAGATCTGAGATTACCTAACTCCTAATCTATAATTGTTACTAAATAGTCTACAGCTGAAGCATCCCATGTCATTTTATCACATGCAAATCACATTACAAAACATCTGCAGGGATGTTTTGTAATGTACATAACATACTGGAAGGTTAAAGAGTGTCAGCGGTGATTTTTAGTTTGTTTGCAGTTGACTTTTGTCACTGCATCCTGCATTCATTTTCTTTTCCTAAAGTAAAATTTTTTTAAAAACCTACAAAAATCAACAAGCGCATGGCACAGTAGTCCTTCTTGGCCATTAGTATGTATTCTCTGAAAAGTAGGGGCGTACCAAGTTTTAGCTACAAAGACCAAACAGCTGTGAATCAGGAGTCATGATGCCTGTGCTTCCATAGCATGGGTTTTTCTAGGTCTTTCATCAAAATGCAAGTATCATTGTGACCCAAAATGTTCTTATAACGTGATGACGGCTTGTGATTAGAATCTACTAGACTTGAAGCTGACATGTTCAATTTAGTCAAGTCAGTTCTGTACATGACTGGTTTGAATGGGCTTGTATTTTTTTTTCTCCTAAACCTTTTGCCAAATGCCTATGACAACATTGCTGTAGTGGATTATTTGGGTGCTGGTATATGAGCAATTAAGTCTGTTTGAAATGCCATTCAGGCAGATTTTTAAAAATACATTTCACCAAGATCCTCATATTACATTTTCTTATGGTCATTGATACTGCAAATACATTTTTTAAAGAGAAAAGAAATCCATCTGCTGCTGTTATGAAGCCCCCCACCCACTCCAGAAATGTGCTTCTGTAGCCTGGAAATCAAAACACATATTTGTTGAATTAGGCTCCAAGATATTCATTCCTAATAGAAGCCTTCTCTTCCTGCCTGATTCATTCAAAACCATAATCCAGTGTTCAGTCACATCACAATCACTCCCATGGCATGGACTTGTGTTGACACAAACACTAGACTGTGATTTCACAGGGACTGGGAGAGGACTGTACTCATAAGGGAGCAAGCTTATTACAGTTCATAAATTTGATGGTAATTAGCAATTACTTGAAAACAAAAACAAGTGTAAGCCCTTTAAAAATAATTTTGAGGTTTATATCAAAGTAGTAGGAATTTTCCCTGCAATAACAACCAGCCTACGTACTGTAGTACTTTGAAAAAGTAGCAATAGTTCTGAATAACTTTGGCAGGGAGGGGGTCATTCAAATACTCTCATACTGGATCCAGAAAATAGTTTGGACAATGCTGTTCCGTTACATTTATTGGACCCCTCTTGCCAATGCTGTCTAGGCATTTTTTACTTGTTCACTATTAGCCATATCAATGGTGAGATGAAAAACAATTTCACATTTTCTTATTACCAGAACTAACTAATAATGAACATTCAAAAATGTAGTTACATGAAAACCTCTCCCAGGACCAACAAAAATGGATTGTTTATAAGGTGGAGCAGAGATGCACTCAAAACTTTTAGAATTACGTTGGGATAGTCTCTTAAACAGGTGAGACAAGGTGGGTGAGGTAATATTTTTTATTAGACCAACTTCTGGCCGTGAGAGAGACAAGCTTTCGAGCTACAGGTGGTCTATTATATAAATGTCACTTTATTTGCTTTAATATGTCCTACGGGGGGAAAAAAGCAAGTTTGAAAATGTCAGTTTCCTTCTTTGTCCAAGTGGCCCATGATATTGCAGAGATTAGCCCATCTGCAGAAAAATGTTATGGGACATATAGCAACCAACACAAACTTCAGCACTTCTTATTTTGTTCTGTCCCAGTATAAAGGAGGATGAAAATTTGGTATGACAGACAATTAACTTTGACCGCTATAATAATGCATAATAATGCAATGTTTCTGAAAGAAGCAATAGCCATGCTACTGTCTCAGTCAGCTCAAAGCCATGTGTCCTTTCTCTAACACATGCTCTGCCATAGCTGAATTTTCAGCTGCCTGTTTTATAATGGCATGTTGGTATTCTGCCAAATGGGCCGCAAGACATTGGCCTGCTGTGCCTACATACTGAGGAAGCATCAGTGCCAGAAATGCTCTCCTCCTCAATATAACAATTGTTTATTTAATTATAAGAACTCATTTTTCATTTTTAGATAAGCCAGATAAGACATTAGTCTACATTCTCGAGAAACTCTAAAGAGTGATGCCTTGCATTGCTGACCCTTTATCTTTCAGATGAACAAAAACACCTTACATTTATTTGGCATAAAAAGTAGAGGATCATTTACTGGTATACGTGGACACACAGCTGTATATCTTTCATGACGCACATTAAAAATTCTTGAAAAGCAAAAATATGTAGCCACGTCTCCTTTTCTTCCTTAAATTAAATTCAGTATGCTTATTTATTGTATTTAATTTCAGATGGAAAATTGACCCAGGCCTATAGTTCTAAAACTAATTATAAGGTTCTCTACATTCTTAATTGAATCAAACTTTGGGGTTCAGAATTTATACACGTAATCAACCCTTTTGAATGATTTCTTTAATGCAATGGTTTTACAATGTTTAGACTTGCTGGCTTTCCCAGACTTCGTTCAATACAGCTGATGCCTCTCAGCAGCTCCAGCAATCAGCTGAATAGACTATTACTCTTTTGTGCACTAGCACATTTTTGCTAGAATTTCCACTACTGCTATCTTCAGTTCTGTTCCACCAGTGTGAGCACTAGTGAGCAGTAGAGTAGACAAGATGCCTGCAGCTGTTGGCATTTTAAGCAAAATGTTGTGCTCTGAGCAGATTAGATGTCATGGTGATTAAAATGCCAGTGGCTCCCTGGAGGCCTGTCTCCACTAGCACTCCCATTGGTACAGCTCTACCAATTGAGTTGAACTTGTACTAGCAAAGGAGGGGCATTTTTGCAAAAACAAAAATATTTTTTTACAATCCTAATGTAGACACCCTGGCCCAGATCTACACTCGGATTTAGGCGTTGCAATCACAAGAACACACTGAAATCCACAAAGCCTGAGTTCGGTGCATAGGCTCCCTATAAATAAATGAGGAGAGATAGGCACTTTACAATGAGATCTACAAAAGCCAACATGCTAGGTAAGGAGCTGCCTAAAACATCCAATGGGAGATGCCGACAAGGGGAGCGTGTCATAGGCCCTGCCCCTCTCTCAGAGATAAGTGCCTAAATCCAGGCTGCAAGGAGGCATCTGCCTCTGCAAAGTGAGCCACAAACAGTAACCCA